CCCTCTGCTGTGTCCTGTGATAAAGCTGTCCCCTACACACACTGCTCCAGTGCTGCTGTCCCTCTGCTGTGTCCTGTGATAAATCTGTCCCCTACACACACACACACTAGTCCAGTGACGATTCTCTGTGGTTCCTCCCTCAGCTCACCCTGCTGGAGAAGAAGAAGCAGCTCCTTGGGCAGCTGGGAGAAGCCCAGGAGCTGAAGGAGCACGTGGACGGGCGGGAGCGAGCTGTGTGCCAAGTGCTGGCGCGCTGCCTCACCCCCGACCAGCTGCGCGACTACAGCCACTTCGTCAAGATGAAGGCTGCACTGCTGGTGGAGCAGCGCCAACTGGAAGATAAGATCCGCCTGGGCGAGGAGCAGCTCAAGGGACTGCGCGAGAGCCTGGGAATGGGTTATGGGCACTACTGAGGACAAGACTGGGGGATTTCCACATTGCTACAGCCAAACGCCATCAAAGAGGGGGCTTATCATGTGGTCTACAGTTTGGGCCTGTTTGGACTCTTTTCACCCAGACGGCAGGCCTATATTTAAAGTTGGCCCCTTAAGGGACTGGCTTACAACACCTCTTTAAATTGTGCCTTTCCAAGACACAACTGTGTGCATCATCCACTCACTGTCTTTAAGTCATAACGTGAAATTTGCAGAACCTTTTTAACTATTAGTAAGACGTTGGGCCTTCAAACAGGCAATGTAAAAGTTCTAAAGACTGCATTTGCCTGAAAAAAATTGTATTTACACTCTACTTAGTGCCAAAGTGCTTGTAAAAAGTTTTGTTGCAGGTTATTCTATTTATTTATTTTTTTAAGATGAGTCAATTGCAGAACTCCTGCTCTTTCCTACATGTAAATTTACTGGACTGCATTTTTTTGTGATCGGCCAGGGGAGACCCAGCAAATAGACAGCTTTCTAACTGTCTGTGGTGTGGTGGAACCTCAACATTAGGAAAGAATCCAAATTATACATTCCTCATTCCTTCACCACCGAGCCAAAAGAAAGCCTGGAAGCCCTGCACCAGATCCAGCTTTTTGGGAAGTGAGCCACAGGCCACAGAAGCGTAGTCCAGACCCCCACTCCCACCCACCCATTGTGGTACGGGTTTAAGGCAAACAAGTCCTTTCCTTGGGAAGAAGTCACACAAACCCAGTCAGATGATATCAAGCAGATCTTTGGTGCATGCAAACTGTGACAGATATTCAGTGCTTGTGCATATTAGTCAGATTAGTCCCAGGCTGCTGTATCACCTCTACCTGTGTATGTTCCTCAACCACTATTACATCATGGTCTTCTTCTGATTGCATCACAACCTCTTGCCTCTTGGGGTTCAGGTCAATAGGTTGCATAGGTAGAATTATTATTATTATTATTATTATTATTATTATTATTATTATTATTGTCTGTAATGTGTTAGAAGTCTACTGGCTTGAAGGTGGTCAGATTGGAGGAGTCTGCCACAACTTCCTCCTTCTCCCCTGTGTGTAATCGTGTGGCTCATAGCTACAAGCCCAGACATGAAAAACTCCCTATTGCCTATTCCACAACTGGTTGATATAAAAAAAAATTTGACCATTCTACATTTAAAAAAAACAAAACAATTACCCTGGATCTGACATGCAGTCAGCACTGTTTCTTTTTCTACCTATGGTTCTCTTCAGCTGATGAAGTGCAATGTACAAATAATACATTAAGCCCATTAAGTCACCTAATTACCCCGAATTAGGATTGTATACAGTAGAAGTTACCAGCAAAGATCCTTCCCTAAAACACATATTGGTTTGAAATAGCTGACTGCACAACCTTACTCCAGAGCACAGATCACAGCTCATTAATTAAGAATGTAAGAATTTTACAGACTGTTTAATTTATTCAGTCATAATCTTCTCCAGAAGCACATAACTGCTGTAATACTACATTGAGCTTCCTTAGTGGCTGCAAAGTAACATTTGCCCTGCTGTTTCCCCTAAATGGAAGACATTTGAAGTACTTTGGAACCTACAGGGACAGCGCAGAAGTACATGTGCTGTCTGATATTGACTCATTTGTTGGTAAAGAAATCAGTGTTTCCATCTTTCTGATGGTTGTAAGCAAGTGTCTACATCCTAGTGCACCAGGCTCTGCAAAGTGTTGCATTCTGCCCAACCAAACGGTTTAGTCTGCAAATCAACATCTTGACGTGAGCAGTAGAACAACATCCGTTTGTTTTGAGTTGTTCACAAGAATGACAATCGGACCTCCACCATCCTAGTCATACAGTAGGGGACACTTTGAAAATCTCCATCTGTTTCAATTCTGTCATCATCGGTGCTGAAATCACAGTCCATCTTGAAAGCCACACAGATCATTTTGTGACACTAAAAGCTGATGTAGCTCTGTACATCATTACGTATGTCTTTGAGTGGCCAAGTGCTGTTGCGAACATAACATTGAGATGGGGCTAACATCGGTGTGGGCGAGTCTTGTGACAAGACAGCCCTTCTTTCTCACCATACCTCCATACCTCTCATAGCCACCCTGCTGGAAGTGATAGCTTTATTCTCAGTGAACATCTCAGTGGAATTGTACAGGGTACCATGGTGCTTTTCAAATCCCAGGTGCAGTCACATGTTCCCTGTTCCTCAAGGCTGGTTTTAAAGTTCATAAGGAATGCTTATTTCCTTGCTTCATGTTGAGACAGCTTGGACCTCATGGGAAAACACACTTTTGCTGCTTTTCAGCTTTCTCCTTTGTCTTTCAGATACTGTTATCTGTATTTTTTATATTTTTATTCAGAAATGGACAATACTGCCCTACACTTTAGTCCCATAGCTGACACTTTTGACAGAAGCCACTCCTGCCGATTTCTCTATCCAGGCAGTTGATGCCCAAAGACTGTTTGTAGTCAATCTTATGTATTAGGTACAGAAATACTGGGATAGAACACAGTGTTTCTTTACATAAGACTATAGTCCAGTCAAGCATCAATGGCTATGCATTGTATTTGCTTACAATCCTTCACTATGAGATAATACAGAACTGGTGCCAAAGAGATATTATTATTAAAACAAAGGATAAGGAAGTTGGTTCACTTTTCTAAATTATAGCTGAGTCATACTATCCAAAAATGGACTAACCCGTAATGACAGGTTTGCAGAGCTTATAAAAAGTGTTAACTTCCTGCTTACATATTAATCCAAAAGTGATGTCAGACTCTACGAAGAATGCTAGAATTGCCTTTTGGCCTGGTTTTGACAATACACCTACCTAATTTTTCTACCATTGTGACTGACCTAATTTCACAGCACATGATGTGTATATTTGATAACAGGACATTAATCATACTTTTTACAGTACATTGATTTATATATTTCTCCTCAATCTTTTTAATTACCATACTTTACATCAATCAGTGTTATCTGTAACTGGATATAACACAAAGCCATAAAATGGCTGGTTTACATTTTTGCTTTCCATTGGTTTGTTTCTTAAAAGTGATACTGTGATCATACCAGTCTCTTTTTTGCAAATTGTAGAATGCAGAAGGTAAACTGTACAAAAACACTACCCTTTTAAAAAATGTTTTGAAACATTTCACTGAGCAAACCTGGTGTTTGTTAGTTTCCCTTTTCTGACAAATATCGAAATGATTCTAAGAGATAAATTTGAAGAGCAATACATTTGGCAAAAATTAATAGTGTCACAATTTGAGAGTAAATATAGAGAAAACTGATATTTAAACTTGACAGTGAGAAACTTGCATGCGATCAATAGGCTCCATTACTAAAAAATTACAAAGTTAAGTTTGTGGGTTGGAGTGTTGAGTGATATTTGTTGAGTAAATGAGGAGACAAAAGTACTGTGTTCAGTTAGTCAGATCTTCCCCATCAGCAAATACCCTTTCTGAAAATTGTTGTCAGAAAGTACACAATTGTAGCAGGAATTTGACTGACCATATCTTAAAGTGAGCTGAAACCACTATAATTCTGTAACCACATACTTAACTGGATATAAATTGTGCTTTCCTGAAATGAAAAGCTCTAGAGGTTTTGTAATTTACTTCCCTCAGAGATTTGTAAAAGGAAATCAGTTAAGGGCACTAAGACAATGCAAAATTGCACAGGCCTTCCATTGAAAAACAGGGCAACACATTTCAGGTAAAGAATAACCAGTTTCTTGATATGACTGGAAGGTGCTGACACATACAGGCCGTTTCATGCGGTTCATTGATGCTTGGATGTGACGTTTCCTGCAGCCTGGGTACAATGCAATGTGCTTTTACTCTGTTGTTAATGTTGTCCTTATCCTGGTATTACAGCCAGTACTAGCCACTGTTAGTTATTATGAATCAAACTGGATATTCTTATAAGGAAATGAAGCTGCTTTGTGATTACTTACTGCATTCATGTTTTACTTATTTGTACCAAAAGAAAAACAAATGCTCAGAGTTGTATCAAGACAATTTTGTTTCAATCTCAGTTATTGAATTGCTCAACATCTGAGACTTGCTTGATGTTGTGAAAAGAACTGTTTTCACATGCCAGACCAAAAAATGTATGTTTTGATTGAACATATGCAATGTATTCCTGTTGATATCTGTACTGTATATATGCTAATATTATACATAACCATTTCAAGAGAAAGTCTCCATTTTACAACTCCTAAACCATCATCAAAACTGGAAATAGGATGTTGTATTTTATATATAACAAACATTTTGTAAAATGTTTAAACAGTACCATTAATAATAATACACTTTTTTTTAAAACAAAGAGCATCTGGAGTTTGTGTTATTCTTTTGTTGAAAGGAGCGGAAGTCTTCTGTGTATCCAAGGATATGGGACAGTACAAGATACCTGCAGTTTTTTCTTGGACAGAAAAGAGGTACAAACAAGGGGAGACCGTGTGGCTTGTGTTTTTCATTTGGGTGCTAATTGAGCACAAAGTCTGGTCCAACCCCCATTTTAAAGACAGCAAGTTTGCAAATGAGTAAACTAGTGGCTCATGTGGCCCAGTTGATTACCATTAGTGTGTTGTTCTGAGGGTCTCTGAAAGATCACAGGGTATCTGCTCAACAGCCGATTCAAATCGGGGCATGCAACAAATCACAGTTTATTTGACTTTTCATCCAATTATTTTTGCTTAATTGGTCATTAAGGTCTGAGATGCAATAAGAAACGGAGCCAAGTGTTGCACTTGAAGACCAGAGCTAACTACCCCTTTTCTAGACAAAACTAGAATAATGAAGTGCTTCCTGTTTTCAGTCGTAAATGCTTTCACTTACCCCACCTCCACCTTACTTATTCCTTGATTACTTACTGCATTTATATTTTGATTACTTGAATGATTACTTGATTACTCACTGCATTCATGGTGTCTTTGCTATTTTCCCTGAACAGTCTATTATGCCCTCAATGTAACATTGTACCTTTGATGATTTGGCATACTTGAATTGTCTACCTATTTCTTAAAATTAATTTAACAGAAACACATTTAAAAAAAGCATTTTTGAAGGGTCCCATGTGGTCAAGCTTTGCCAGGAGACACCCACAACACTTTATGTAAAGAGGTGCTTTCGGGTTTCATGGCTACATACAGTACATCACTCTGCTCCATTGGCCAGCAGCCCTATCCCCCATGCAAGTCACAAGTGGCAACCCATTCAAGCTCAGCAGGGATGAGCCTGGTCAGTACATGGGAAAAGTAAGGCTGCTGCTGGAAGAGGGTTAGTGAGGCCGGTAGGGGGCGCTCACCCTGCAGTCTGTGTGGGTCCCAATGCTGCTGTATAGTGATGGGGACACTATACTGTAAGGAGGTGATATCCTTGAATGAGATATAAATCCTGACTTTCTGTGGTCATTAAAAACCCAGGGCATTTCTTGAAAAGAATAGGCTTCATGATTCTGTTCTCCTCCCCCCTGATAGCTGATGTGTGGTGACTGTTCTGGTGCACTATGGCTGCCGTTGCATCATCCAGGTGAGGGCTACACATTGGTGGTGGTGGAGGGGATCCCCATTACTTGTAAAACGCTTTGAGGGGTGTGTACAGAAAAGCAGTATATAAGTGTTGGGAATTATAATGATTCATTATTATTATCACTCTCAGTTTCTAGCTGTGTCCCCATGTCCTTGCTGAGTGGTTGAATTTGATGTTGTCCCTTGTGAAAACATTTCGAAAACCGAGTCTAAATTCAAAACCCCATTTTGTCTGGTACATGTTTGCATTTCCATAGGGTTCAAAGGTGTCTGCAATGCTCTGTCTGTAGTTTGCTCTGTGTACAGCTGAGTAATATCACCTTCTGCGTGACGGAGCTGACAGCATTTGCTGGAAAAAACTATAGGCAACCAGACTGCAGATAGTCTGAACCAGTTCTTCAAGAAAGGAACCACAAATAATTGTGGTATTTAAAAACAAAACAGTTGATGTCTGTTATTTATGTCTGTTATTTATTCACAGTAAAGGTTTATTCCATGCTGAAACAAAAAAGAGACAACATTTTGGCTGTGGAGTCTTCCTCGGGTGACACCATTTATTCCTTCTTGAATTAGTGCTAATATTTCAACTCCATGCGTATCTTTGCAAGTTGTCAAATATTGCATGTACTTGAATCCAAATTTTAGAACTCTTAAGGCCTTTACTGGTAAAACTGTGGACCAAAGTGCCCCATAAGACAAAATTAAAACTCTGAGGAGTGCTGGGTAGGGCGAATTTGGTAAACGCAAATGATCTGTCCTGGCCTGAGAAATAACAAGATCCTTCTGGGAAAAGTGGCAATAAGTGTGTCTTTGATTTGATATGATGACGGAGTAGCAGCTGATAACAAATTTACAAAATCCCATTGACTTCCCTTCAAAATGTTCCCTGCAGACCTAATAATTCTGAAGCGTTTGTTTGACTACAGTTTCCTGTTTTGTTGCAGAGCAGTCTAAATAAAACAGAGTCAGACAGTTAAAGCAAGAGTGGGGAAGAGGCAGGAGACAGGAAATTAGTCCAGCTGGTTTTCAAAAGCTGATGAACGATGAAAAACATTTCGATGCAGCTTCAAATGCTAATATGAAGAAATAAAAGGGTCACTGTGTGGGAAAGCAAGGTCAGGGTGTTCAGGTGTCAGAGACAAAATGGGGATCTGTATGAAGTGAGAGATGAAAGAAACGCCAATGGAAGAGATTCACCTGCAGGACAATGCTTTTGCACTCTTCCTTTTTAAAAACGCCACCTGCACACACTCTTACATTCATTACATGCAGTATACTGTCAGTACAGCACAGTCTTGTAAGCAATGGAATGTATCTGGTTGCTCTTCTCTGGACTGATTCCAGAGGTATAGAGCAATATCTTCTTACTTAGGCCTGACAAGTGTGTTACAGTATACAGTACATCCATCCATTTTCTAACCACTTCTTCCAGTTCACAGTAATGGGGAGCTGGAGCCTATCCCAGCAAGCAACAGGCGCAAGGCAGGGTACACCCTGGGCAGGATGCCAGTCCTTCGCAAGGCACACACAAACGTGGAAAGGCACCCACTCACACCTAAGACCAATTTTGTGTGTTATACAATGTTAACATAAACCTTCCTTGATTTAAGTTATATGCTTTTAACTATATATTCAAACATGTTTTTGCCCTGTTTTATGGTTTCCGGGTATTGTCTAGAAGATATAAATCATGAGTCAATAAAAAAAAAACCTTTTAATGAGAATTCTCTTCACACTCAAGTGTTTCCATATTTTCTGCATTTAACATCACTTTATTAGCCGTATACAATTTGCAAAATTACCGATACAACCACAAGGTGGCAGCGTTTTCTTATTTCTTACTTGCAATTTTATGTTTGCGCAGCCATTCGGAACTCCCCTTGCGCTTTATCTGTGATTTATTTTACATCCAGGGAGTAAAAGCAAGCTGGTTACAACAGAGCTTGTGTATGTTTGCAACACTGAAGAAATAGTATAAATGCGTATCGACCTCCAGGTAGTCAATTGCAATGACAGATTACTGAAAATCAGTTGACAGAAATCAAATCACCGTTCACCACAGAATAGTAGTGCCCTTCAAGATTGCACGTTCTCTGCTGTTTTTCACTAATGGCTATTACTACCGGTAACTTTGCAAGCGTTGTAAGTAGAAGTGGGATTGATTAAGAATGACAAAATCTTGATTCCATAAGAAGAGTTACAAATGAAAGTAGGCCATTCTAGAATCTGAGGTAGACCTACCTCATCAAATAGGTGGTCATCGATTCAATTTCAGTGGTTTGTAGCAAACTGATAGAAGGATTTTTATCCAGCTATTTCTTAAAAGAAGCCATGGCATTGATTTCAATAACATGGCCTGGTAGCTTGTTCCACACTCCCACACTCCTTTGGGTAAAGAAATGTCTCCTCTTCTTGGTTTTAAATGCAGTCTCATGTTGTTTCCTCTTGTGTCCGCTGGTTTGTGTTGAAGTTGTTAATGGCCCTGAGGATTTCGAATGTTTATATTAGGTCCCCTTGTAGTTCAACATAAAAAGGTTCAGTTACTTCAGGTTATCAGGGTAGGACAAGTCCCACAATGCATCTGTTTGTTCTTCTCTGGACTGATTCATGAGCAGCAACGTCCTTTCTATAATGTGGTGACGTAAATGACAATATTCTAAAAAAAAAAGCCTCACTGTGCATTTTATCATTTTAAAGTCATATCTCTTGATTTAAATTCTACATTTTCACTATATACCGTATGCTAGTAAACTAGAGTTTAATAATTGGGAAAAAAACATGATCAGTTATGACAGAAAACATTCATACTGTAACACCCTAGCCACAAACACCCTTACTTGTATGGCTGATTCATACACATTTAACAGCACAATCAGCTGTGACAGTCTCAAGCCAGATGTCAATGCTAATGTGTAAAAATCATAAGAAAGTCTAATAGTGTGCTTGCATTCTATATTACAACATGGTTTGGTAAGCAATAAATTAACCCTTCAATGGCCAGAATATACTGTAAACAGTAACTTCCAGATGCTATACCTGGCTGTCATTGGTTGAACAGCGTACTGTACTTCTGTTGTCGTTGTTCCTCTTACTTCCTATACACTATAAGACAGGTGAAATTTTTGTAAGCAATTGATAAAGGAAATGAAAGTTAAAATGCAAATTTCGCTACACTGACATTGTTACCTAAATTGTGCAAAGTAATGTGACAATATAGTAGACTAGGAAATACAGAATGATTAATTTGTGTCATGTTTCTTTGTAGTTAAACGTTTTTTCTCTTCGTCTTGCATTAAGTAGTACTTTATTAAGAAAGTTAGGAAATATTACTATGGTTTAGTTTTTATTTTATGCATTTCTTACTTGGAGCAACAAAACTAAGTTAATTTTCTACAAGTGGTCTCTGACTGTGACGTTAACCATTCCTCGGACACAACACAGTACTTTGAATTCGGACCCGATTAGAAAGTCAAACCAAAGCGTCATTTTTTCCTGTTCCTTTAAACGTTCTGAAGCCATATGCCTAAACTGCGAACGACAGCATTATGTTGGCATTCAGAGAAACCGATCTCTGCCTGACAGCTCCGATCGCCAGCTCTGTGATCGGCTCCCTGCCCTGACAGGAAACCCAGTGCAAATCCGCAAATCCCGCAGAGCCCTGCTGTACTCAGCCGAGAGGGGTTCCTCAGGAATTGGGACATCAATTCGTTATTGCCTAAGGAGGGTGTCGTTTTACCTAGCGACAGTCCTCAAAGTGGCCTGGAGACGGGAGGAAACACCTTCTCGGAAAGGAATATGATAGACATTTGTAAAGGCACCAGACAACGAGGATTGTGTCTTCTGCCTGCGGATCTGAAAGCCGAGTCACAAGACAGCAGGTTAACTCGCTTTGCAGGCCGGGCAGGTGGGTGGCTTCTCTCTCTGTTTCTGCAGGGGTGACATTTCAGACCTGAAATGTAAAGCAGGGGTCAACTGTTTTTCAGAATGATGACAAGTGGGATCACATCCCACGCTGAGTCCCTGCCCCGTTTGATTTATATATTTTTTTTTAAAAGCCCTGCAGTTATAGTGGCGTTAATGGTGTTTCAGGAAGAGCGAAGAAAGGTTCAAAATTGGGGACAACAGCTGCAAAGTAAAATGGGGTTTTGGAAAGGGATCTTATTTGTAATTGTATTATTTTTTGCCGCTATCTGTGTTGTCTCCCTCCTTTAATTTCCCAGTCAGATTTCACGGGATTGTGCCTGCAGACAGCAGGTAGCCGGAGGAATCAGGCGTGTGGGTATCAGAGAGTTTACACAAGTCCTGAGCAGTCAGGGCTTTAAACTTTTCAGCTCTTGCTGGATCATCAACTGGCGTTTGTAAATTAGGATTCAATCCCTGCGGTGATTAACCCGTTTAACGTTACCCAAGTGCGCTACTGTAGGTATTGATTTGTGATTCATCAGGTGGTCTTTCGCCCTGTATTGATTATGTAAACTGTCCCTGCTGTTTTTCCGTGTGTGTGTGTTTGGAAATCTGTTCTTTGAGCTTGTGCTGTGCTCAAACGTGCGTGTGTGTTGGTGTGACATTTTCTACAGGCTATCCAGGCGCATGACACATTAATCATTGATAGGCTAGGCTTATACTGTACAAATGTGAGTTTATGCACAGAGAAAGGCAAATATTACGTTTGTGGTTACGTGTGAAGGAAAGCAGACACGGCGTCTCGAAAACGAGGATAGTAGTGCCTGTGTTACAGGTTACTGTGTTCAGAAAGTGGGTGTTTGAATTTGGTCTTGGGTGAAGATGGCCATTTGTGGCTCTTCATTCTGCGGAAGAGGCTGGGGGGAGTGACGCTGTGTCTGTGCGTTTTATCCGAGACTCGATGAACGCCGTTATCGCTGGCCTCGCTTAATGGGTAACTCGGATAATTCCAGTAGTTTCTACAAGTCTACTTGTTAAACTGGAGGTCAAAAACAAAAACACTGCCTTCAAGAAGGAACAGATTGTGAATTAAATCCAATCTTTGCGCGTTAGGCCCTTTCAAAGATATGAAACTTGTTTTACAGGAAACCAATGTTGCACTTTGGTTCTACGGAAAGAGTAAATTAAAAAAAAACGTAACATCGTCGTTTTTAAAGTCGGAAGACTCGATTACAGTCTAACTAAATAATTAAAGGAGGACATGCTGCATCTTTATTACTGCCCACATAGGGTCATGTGGTTATGAAAACTTAAATGCTGTCTAATACTCCACTAAACCCCTTTTGGAAAACGGGAAAATTCCAGTAATTTCAAGTGGAATTTCATAATCTTCCTGTTGTTTTAAGCAGTGTACAGGTTCAGTTGCGTTGGTAAATTTTGTTCACAAAATTAAATGGCTGCGATGCCTATGTAGTGTTTCAAGACTACACTACAACTTTACTGAAAAATTATATATTGTATAATGGTTCTGTGTTTTGTCAAGTGATATGTAACAGCTGATACAGTAAAAAGAAGTTAGTGGTCGTAATCTCACGGAGTTGATTATGTTTTCTCTCTGAATATCTTACTCTAAACGTTCATCTTGTAGCCTACTGTCACTTTGTCCGGTGCTGTTTATCAGCAACATGCATCTAGTTTGGCCTGGAATGTGCAGTAGTTGTAACTGCATGGTACAAGGTTGCTGTTTATTGCCCAAAATAAAGTGTTTTGTTTTATGGGTACAGAATACCCAGGCCTATCAGCATCAGATGTTGGTTCATAGTTTGTGCACACAGGTTACTGATTCAACTAGAATTTGGTGGAGCTCCTCTGTCATACTTCACTGAGCGTTTTCCAGATGAATGTACATTTTGGTTGTTTTCATCCTGGTCTTAAACGCGTCCCTCCATTTTCTAACCGCGTTATATAATTCAAGGTCATGGGTGATTCTTTGCCTATTCCAGCAAGCAGTGGGCAGAAACCAAGATACACCCTAGACAGGACACCAGTTTATCTTAAACCTTAGTGCTGCATAAGATCCCATTAATCACCCAGCATTGCAGAGTAGACTAGAAAAGATTGTAGATGTCCTTGCTATGATTTAGATCTCACTTAATGGAGGGAACTGGAAATGTGCATTGCTTAATAATAATAATACATTAATATCAGATGTCACACAAGGATTGGATTTGCGTAACATCTGTATGTGTCCACTGGCTCAGGTAGTTTGCAAACATGGTATTAATGTTCACTTACTAAAGTGGCTGTTTTTCCATCTGTACAGTATGGTAGCTGTTCGCTCCTGTCTTACTCAGGCAAGTGCAGAGATGCCTATACACCCTGTTAGTTCCTGCTGTAATGTTTTGCTAGCTAGAGGTTTAAAGTCTGGTCTTAAGCTGTGGTGAACTGAGAACTGAGCTATCCAAAATTTAATAAGACTTAAATGTCACCATTGGCTCACAGTGGAATTTAGTGATACATTTAAAGCTATACATTTACAGCTATACTATACATCCAAATTACATCTGTACCATAAACTGCTATGGTATAGCTTTTACCTTTGCCTTTGGCCTTTTACCTATGTCCAGACTGAAGTGTCATGCATTCAGCTATTGAATCTTTTCTTATTTAGAACCAAGGCTGGCAAATGACCTTCTGAAGGTCATAAGGGATAAGAGTTAAGTCAAGACTTTGGTGGGAAAAAAAATAAAACGTATTTTTGTACTCGCTTTTATAATTGGGATTTGTTACTCTTGTTGCTTGTTTTATACTTATTATTCTCTTATTATTGTTTATTGATGATTTCAATTAATTCTCTTAATTAAGCAATTTGAGATAGTGTACATGAAAGATGCAATGTAAAATAGATGTTCATCCTCAGTACAAGTGTAGGTCAGTAGGGCCACTGTTGTCAGAGCCTCCAATACAAATAGCAATTTGCTGTGCCTCAGATCTCTCTCAGTTTGCTGAGAAGCACATTCAGACATGAATTAATGTGGAACAGAACTACTCTATTAAAGCTTATAACCTCATTATTCTGAAAAGGTTAGTCAGCACTTCTGGGAAAAATAATCCAAACAGGATTTAAGATTAGGAAGTTTCTGTATATTTCCAGCAGGAAATACAGGGCCCACGTCTGAATGGCAGAGATGGTGGAATGCATCACTGCTGAGGATAAACATCGTAACTGAAAGCCTTGCAGAAGATGAGCACACTAGTACAGTGTAGTTTGTAAATACCACATCATGTTTTTAAGCAAACACAGTAGCTTCCCAAAAAGTGTTATAGGAACAAATAAACCACAAGTTCTCAATACCAGTGTCTAAGGAGGAACCATAACAAAACAGAAGTCACAGGATAAGACCCATCAGAGGTCTGTAGGAAAGCCCGTTTCATATTTGAATGGGATGTTGGTTAATAATAAATGTTCTTCCTTGTCATATCTGTAAGAACAATGTCTTCCTCCCTTAGCTAACTGGCAAAACTCTAGTAATGACTTTTTTTCCTATCCAATTAGGAGTTTTGTACTTGTTTTAAGTAATAACTGATGTTTAATTAGGGCTATTGAAATAACTGCTTACTTTTGCTTTGGTCAAAGAAGCTTGTACACATTAGTAAGACAACTGTGCTTTAAAAGGGTTAAATTAACATAAGCACAGTTTCAGCTGTTGACAATGATCATTAGTTTGAATTTCTGTGTTTGTGTACAACAGTTGAATTAAAATGTTTTTGTAAAATTATATTAACATAGTAATTAAGCCTGGATCTCATTTTGTGACATTTTTGTCTTCTTGTACACACTACTACTACACTCTAGTTTAAAACATTTACAGATGTCAAATTTCAATGTTAGTGTATGGTGAACAATGAGTATGATTGTTATCCAGTAAAGACACTGGTTAAAAACACTGGACAAAATTTTAGAGAGCTAACAGTGAGAAAGTAAGTGTGTAGGTTTTTACCTTAAATGCATACATTATATCAGGTTAAAGTGTATTTAACCCCAAGCTTCTCTCCCTGTCTGTGTGTCTCATGGAGAGCAAGTTGGGGTATGTGAAAAGACAAATTCCTGATACAAGAAATTGTATGTGGTCTAAAAAGTGATCTTATCTTATTTGGTCTTATCTATGTTTTTCATAAAAGAACAAAGCCAGCTTTTAGTGAGGTTACTTATATTCATTTTCAGATTACTTAATTTAAATTAGTCTAAACAGTTGGTTTAATTTAATTCTCAGGAACATCAATGTATAGTAGCAGCAGTTAATAGGAGGGGTATGTTGCAATTGGGATCATTTCTGATGCAAGCTGGGGAATGCAAAGTTACAGCAGTCCTGAATTACTGACTGTAAGATCTGCACACTATAATTTACCTTTTTGGGGGCAATTCATTCCAGTTCATACTTTTTTTAAGATGTAAAAGAAGAAAAAACACAGAAACAACTAGATATTCTTATTCCAGATCCTAGCAGACATCAGACATCTTAAAATCCAGTCTGTTAATGCAGCACACAAGTTATCTCTTGTGTCACAGAAATGTGGCTGCCCACATGATTTGTGCGACATTAGATTTTTTTCATATAGTAGTTGCCCACTAGTCAGTCCCCTTGATCCCTTTCCTATATCACTCTAAAGCATTTAAACCGGTGTTTAAGACCATTCCTGTGGGTAAACCATGAGGCAAAGACAGATGTGAATCTGCATTTTCTGTTAGGACATCTGATCCTTGGCAAGTGCTCCAACATTTGGAGTGTGAGAGAGAATTGTGGAAGACCAAAGATCATTAGGTAAACTCAAAAAGACCACATAACCTTCTTAAAGACCAAAAAGACCTCTGAACCTCCTATCCCCCTTCAAAAGATAGGCAGTGAATTATTTAGGATCCTTCAGTAGAAACGTTTAGGTACCTTTGTCTAAAGTTCTGTGGCTAGGGACAGCTGCTGCTGTAAAGATAGGCACCTGTCGCAGAAGTCTCTACCAGGTTTCTGTACAGTAACTGGTGGGGTGTATTACAGGACTCTGCTGCTGACTATGGACAACCAAGGGTACTGCGGCGAGAGCTTCAACAGCCTGCAGAGTGGCACAAGTGACGAAGACATGGTGGAGATTGCTGGAGCCACTCTGGACTTCTCCGTCACGGATGATGTGCCTCCTCTGGACAGGGAATATGCTGGAGGTATGCCTTCTTTTCCTAGAACACCAGTGACATAGGCCCCACGCTGTGAAAAGAAAAAAAGAGCTGCGTCACCGTGCTCCCAAAATTGGATGGGTTTGCTCCATGGTACAATCTCCACCACTAAGAAGTAACCTAGTAAATGTTGTCAATTCACAAGTAGATGGCTCAGTGTTCCTACTATTACATAAATAATAATATCTTATTCAGACTTGATTGAGCGGATGTGTAGAGAATGATTGTTTCTAAATATTGTTGGCTTGATAAGTTGCCTTTGTTTATGTGAAATTCAATACAAGTGCCATGGGTAAAGACAGTAGTTTTGTTCGCAGTGTTTAGCTTAGATTTATTAATATTAGGGTTGATAGATACATTTGATTTCTATATGATGCCTTCAGGAATGTGTATCCTTTGTATTAAGCTGGTTCTTTTTAAAAACAGGAAAAAAAGTCTATCTGCAAGGTGCAATCTGTTTGTAATTGCAAAAAGCAATTGAAGAACTTAATGAAGTGTAATGCTCTGCATTGTCACTTGTACAATTGTGATGCTTATGCCGTTCCTCTCCATCTTGACAAGCACATGTAGAGGCTGACTTCTATATCAATCAGCCAGTGTTATCAGTCTGTATTCCTCATGAATATCAGTTTAACATGGAATGATAAGAATATGTTTTAGAAAACTGTATTCCTCCTTAAGAGTCCCAAGAGGCTTTGCATGTAGGATGGATCGATAGCCCATACTGGGTGATACACTGTAGCCAGTCTAAACTATCAGCCCCACTACACAACAGCTCAGAGGGAGGAGTGAGGTCAACATTGTGAAGTCAAAGGTCAGCCGCCTTGTGTGTCTATTAACAGTGGTCTTGTCTGGGGGCTATCTCCAGGCTTGCAGTAGGCTGTTGATGATTGTATGCAGAGTACTGGTGAGATTAATAATAATAATTAATAATTGCTTACATTTATATCGCGCTTTTCTTGACACTCCACTCAAAGCGCTTTACAGGTAATGGGGACTCCCCTCCACCACCACCAATGTGCAGCATCCACCTGGATGATGCGACGGCAGCCATAGTGCGCCAGAACGCTCACCACACATCAGCTTTCAGTGGGGAGGAGAACAGAGTAATGTAGCCAATTCATAGATGGGGATTATTAGGAGGCCATGATTGGTAAGGGCCAATGGGAAATTTGGCCAGGACGCCGGGGTTATACCCCTACTCTTTACGAGAAACGCCCTGGGATTTTTAATGACCACGTCTCATCCGAAGGACGGTGCCTGTTTACAGTATAGTGTCCCCGTCACTATACTGGGGCATTAGGACCCACATGGATCACAGGGTGAGTGCCCCCTGCTGGCCCCACTAACACCTCTTCCAGCAGCAAACTTAGTTTTTCCCAGGAGGTCTTCCATCCAGGTACTGACCAGGCTCATACCTGCTTAGCTTCAGTGGGCTGCCAGTTGTGAGTTGCAGGGTGATATTAAGATTAGCCAAAGTGTCCATCTAAAAACAAACCAGGAGCCTCCCGTCTCCAACTGCTCAGGACACTGCTGGATTCACTGTTTCATGATAGACGTTGGAGTTGCAAATGTGGTCTACCCATTATCCGTACCATTAATCTAAAGCTTCCAATTATTGAAGGCAGCTCAATGGTAGTTAGTCAAGCTGCAGGACACTTTTGTGAAACTGGAGAACGAGATGTATTTGATGAACAATTTCATACATTAACACCGTATGTATTCGTTTTTTAATATTTACCTCATTCAACATAGTAACTGCTATGTTGTAGGATTGCAGGCAAAGTAGATGTTGGATTTTGCCATTTCAGTGTTGATGGCACAGATTTGTTTAACATTATTATGAGTCCAAGGAGCAATGCATCTTGGCTGTAGAACTGCTCCTGGTGTACAGTTCATGAATGTTTGCTGCAGGGTCTAGTCCACTGAAACAAGCAGCAGATGCAGACCAACAGTGCAGCCTGGTCTCACATGGTCTCACACTGGGACGGAGCAGTGGCTCTGTGGCTAAGGATCTGTGCCTGTGGCTAGCTGTTATGTTAGCTACAGTATGCTATGCTGTTACAATGATCTGGTCACATTTACAAGTGCACTGTTATACAGCGGTGGCTCTGTGGCTAAGGATCTGCCTGTGGCTAGAAGGTTGCCGGTTCAAATCCCGCGGCTGGCAGAGGAATCCTACTCCGTTGGGCTCCTGAGCAAGGCCCTTAACCCCAACTGCTCCAGGGGCGCTGTACAATGGCTGACCCTGCGCTCTGACCCCAAGCTTCTCTCTCCCCACCTGTGTTTCTCATGGAGAGCAAGCTGGGGTATGCGAAAAAATAATTCCTAATGCTAGAAATTGTAAAGGGTTAATAAAGTAATGTTGTTGTTATTATTATTATTATTATTATTATTATTATTGATAGTCATGCTCAAGCTTGCTGAGGACTCTGTATCATCACAAACAGCCCTGATGTTGTCTGTCAGTGTCAGGCATTTGCAGTAAACTGGTGTTATGGTTAACAGAATTGAAGGCAACCTTGAGATCAGTGTAGGGCACTGCCTAATTAGTGTGGAAGAGACCAGTGCTATCAGGGTTGGAATGTGTGGATGTGGAACTGTTTTGTTGTCTTATCTTTGATTCTGGCCAGCAGAACTGAGGCCAATAACTTTTCAGGGATGGAAAGTGTCAAACTAGGATATTTCTATTTACTGTGTCTGTCCTTAGCCTTTTTAGAATAAATATCCTATTTAAATCTGCTGGTTTAATGCCTGGTCTGACCCTGATTAACCTGATGATGATGGCTGATCCTTCAGGCTTCAACATTTCTGCCAAGATGGATAATATGTACTGTATAACAAGTGTCATGAAAAAATATGTTGTGTATATACAGCATGTATTGTGCATTCTTATTGCATGCACATTGTTTTTCTCATGCTCATAAAATGTAGAAATCTGCTTATAGTATATGGGTCTTGAAAATCTCAGTTAAAAGTGATGAGTGTTTATGCAGATTTCTTTTTCAACAACACAATATGAAGAGAAACAGAAAGCTGATAGATTCTTTGAGTTTATAGGAAAAACTGTGGAATTGAAACCTAGGGAAGATATGCTCAGGCTTTACAATGTACTAGTAAGAGCTCAGATCTCATTTGAATATTGTTCCATTTTAACCAGTATGCAACACCAGAATACAGCCTGGGAAAATACCATTAGACCACAGTGACGTAATGCTTTTGAGTTAGTGTAGCCCCTTTAATACCTGTCAGCTGTCTGCTGGCACTTTGTTACTGATGCTTCTAGTGTTGCTGTACTTAGAAGCGGATTTCATGTGTTTCTTCTGTGTAGTGTCAGCCTGGGCTTTGTTTTTCAAATCTAGAATCAACTTTTTTGTTACACCTGCCACATTTGGAATAGAGAGCTCTGTGTGTTTCACATCCCAGCGCTCAACTGCAGACCCCATGACCGCACACGTTGGAGACAGGAAGTCTAGGCGGACTCCTCTGACACATACACCGATTGAGCCACTTGTCTCTTAATGCCTACCAGACATTCAGTGCCACTTGGAAAGTCCCTCACTGCCAAGTGCCAAAGAAGTCAGAGTCGAGAGAGAGCTAACCTTTCCCATTTTCCCCTCAGTGGTGTTCTACCACCTGTGCATCATCACTGGAGGAATTTGACCCAGGTTTGAACCCTGGCTCTGTTCACCTGAACCCTGTGTTCAGGTGAGCACCTCTACTCACGGAGCCACCTAGGAGGCCCTGCTCTGATTTTTCAAAATCCCACCCTTTTTCTTGATCCGAAAAAGGATCTCAGTTCCCTGACAGCTTTCCGATGAGCCAGAAACAGCTGATGCCAATCTGTTCTGTTCTGCGGACATTTTCTGGGAAAAGAGTGTGGATATTTAGCACTCGCAAAACCATGAAATGTAATTGACCATTGCAGTTAGAGTGGGAGCTGCTCTTGAAGTTACAATCCACACCACATCCCTTTGGCAAGAGACCCTGTGCATGTAGGAGAACTTATAAAGGAAAATATATTTGATAGGGAAATATGCACCCACAGAGCTGGAATGAAATGAATCTATTACAAATAACAGGCTTTGTGAACGTTTTGGAAGATATGCCTATACATTTTGGCCTTTAAGATTATTTTTAATTGCCTGGGTTCCTGTGGATTGGTCTATTAGAAACAGCTGTGTGTCTGTGTGAGGAAGCCAAAGCTCAATATGTGGTGAATTTGATAATCCATCCTGCATATGCAGAGTCTATAATACAGAGTTTTAACCCTTTTGCCCTTTTTATTTGTATTTTCACTGCGTTACCATGTTGTATTCCTAATTTCTAAAGTACTGCAAGACTCCAGATTTTGGTCTTCTTGTACTATATACTGCAAAGTTCAAATGTTGAGACTTGATTATTACTGTAAATGTTTTTATATTTTAACAGTTTGAATTACAGTAAGGACAAAAAGTAAAAGCTAGGAAACAGGAGTTATATCAAAGTCAGTGAGGGTCTGAGAGGATCAGCTCATCATTGGATTCTAGGCTAATAAACAGTTGTTAAGCATGGTTTAAGGGACTGCAGCACAGTTTTCAGTGGATCAGAGGGGTAAATGGACAAATTTCCTTTGCTTTTGTGTCCATGTGAGTTTTAAGTGTAAAGATATCAGAAGGTAGTACATTTGTGACCCAAATTGGTGTTGTGTCAACCAAGATGACTGGTAGGTCCTGCAGTTTCAAAATCTCTTTCAAATTATGAACTGCTGTACCAATTGAATTAAAACCTGACAGAATTCATTACATCAAAGCTGGCTGAAATTAGTATTGGTTGCCTTCAGCCGCAGGCATGAACAAACTTCTTTTTATTTTGCAAAGTGGCTCATCTGTTGAAATCCTCATGCCAGAGAACCAGCTCCAGTACTCCTGGCCCATTGATAGAAATGTCATGGGACAGGGACAGCGGACATCAGCCTCGTCTGAGCAGCTAGACAGGTGTCCTTCTAC